GGCAAGTGGCATCGTGGCAGCTGCACGCTTGACTTTTCTCAGTTCATGGGCAGTTATTTTGCGCCTTGGTTTTTCCACACGCTTCTTGCGACCCTGTTGACTATTTTGAATGAAACGCTTGATTGTTCGATGATCACGCTTCAGAAGCTTTGCAATTTTAAGAGTGCTGCATCCCTCTGCAAGATATCTCACTATTTTGACTTTTCTGAGCCTGTCAAGTCCTTCTTTTGACCCATTTTGCCAAAGGAAAGGAAGTTGCCTAATAATTATGCACACCTGATATAGGGTGTTGATGTCATTAGACCACACCCCTTCTCATCACAGAGATGCACATCACCTAATATGCTTAATTGGTAGTAGGCTTTCGAGCCTATACAGCTTGGAGTAAGACAACATGCATAAAGAGGATGATGTGGTCAAAATACTCATTTGCCTAATAATTCTGCACTCCCTGTACAGATGTCTTTTATCCACGATAATATTGTATCTGCATTTGGCAAATCACGAACTAAAACTTCAGTTCTGTTTTTAAATGTATTCACCATCCATTAAATTTTCCCTTTTCTCGCTACACACCGAGCAATTTTATAACTACATTCAGTAGCTTTATTCTTGATTATTCTCTAATTACTTGAGTGAATATATCTTTTTATGGCTTGCCTTTTTTTCAGGCATGTCATTGAATGATTCCTTTTTTTAATTTGAAAATGTCATTTAATAGAAATTTTCAGCAAACAGTATCACGCACAATGCACACACAGCACAATCTTTTTGCTGTATAACTCCATATTCCTTAGTCCACCAAGATTGAAAAGTACTGATGTCAAGCTTTTGCTTCTCAGTGTTAGACATTTTATAACACATTTGGAAGTAATATCTGCAATTTAAAGCTGAGATTATGGAGATTGCTGTCTGTGGATACTGTAAATTAGCAAAACGTACCCCTTTTAGTTAACGAACAATACATCTGCCATTTTTTGTTGTTTTGAAAATCTTTATTTTTATTCTGAATTGTTTGTTTTTCCACGTCACACAATCACATATTTATCAATAACATGCAAATACAAACATTGTACGGTAGGGATGTGCATGGGCAAAACATGTGGTTCTGTTCAGCACTTCCAAAATTCCGGACTTTAGCAATTCAGTACTTCTGAAATTTGGCAATTCCCTAACCCTATTAGGGGTAGGGATAGGTTCCGGTCATCATTCAATTAATTTTCCCTCACTCTCCTGTTTTGCCCCTTTAGAAATCCAAAGCACTTCGGCATATCCGAAATTCTGCGGTTCGGCTCGGCACTTCCAAAATTCTGCACTTTGGACATTTGGAAGCATCCGAATGTCTGAATTTCAATTTGGACCGAAACAAATTGCACGTGTCTATTGTATGGTTTTTAGTATAACTTAAATGTGAAGAACATAATCTAATAACAAAATTCACAATGCAATCTATTGCGCTAGGTATAAACCTTTACGCGTTTTCAAACTAAACTGTAGAGTGGTCTTTTCAGAATGCAATATCATCACAGATATGATCTCATGTGCCTACTATTGACAATTAGGTAGGGATAACAGGGCAAAGGTTGAGAAGTAAAACAAAAACAGAAACCCCATCCACCATAGGCTACCGCACTGGATCGCCATGGCTAGGCAGCTGGAATATACTCGTGTTATCTAGTAAGGATGGGGACTCTCCATTTGGATTTGCACATATACATATATATATATATATATACATACATACACATATATATATATATATATATATATATATATATATATATATATATATATATATATATATATATATATATATATATCTCTCTCTCAACAGGCTCATGAGTGTATCAAAATACAGTTGAAGAAACAGTGCACACACTAAAGCAAAAATACAGTTTTACAAGGATACTTAAAATCACCTATCTTAAACAAATATGGGGATTCAGTTCCAACATATGGCATAGCAATGTGGTGGTGTGCTTTACACAATATGGCCAAATGGTAGAACTAAACCTGCGGTTGTTATCTATTTTAAGAAAGCCCTTGATATGTTAATAGAGATGGTTTGAAAGAGGTTTAACATTTGTGGGAGATTCATTGTTATGATGTTTATCCTACCGAACCATGTTATACAGTTCTCATTCCATCTAGCCAGGCCTGATTTCAGTGTTTGCAGTAAAGGTAGAAAGTTCTCTGTACATGTGTCCCAGGTCTCTTTTTAACCAGGCTAACCATGTATCAAAGGCACTCAGTGCACCGGTAAAACGTAAATTGCCTCTGCAAGTAGGTAGTTTATCATCTAGCACTTCTGATTTGTCCATATTGAGTTTAAGATTGGACAGTTGACCATATTCCCTAAAAATCACCAGCAGATTAGGCAAGGACACCAGCAGGTATTCAAAAAGGAAAAGCATGTTATCTACATAGGCTGCCACACTATGCTCCCGCTGAACCATCGTGAATCCTGTAATACCCTTCTTGTCTGAATGCCTCCAGGAAATGTTCCAGAGTGAGGGCAAACAGGAGGGGGAACTGGGGACACCCTAGTCGTGTCCTTTTTTTTTTACTGAGACTGGCTGGGATATGGCACCATTGATCCTTATTCTGGAGGAAAGTATTGTGTAGCCTGAGGCAATTCACTTTTGCAAGTTGGACACGAAACTCATGCTGGAACATCATTGCGAGCAACCTCCAGTCCACTCAGTACAAAAAAAAAAAAAAGTTTCTGTGACAGGAAATCTTTCAGAGCCCTACGGGCAATAACCAGTTCCCCATATATCTTGTCAGATAGGGTCAACTTGTGTTTCTCTTCCAGTTCAGCAATATGTTGAATCAGCATTGCAGGTTGTCGAGTAAGTTCCTTTTTTTGTCATGTTCCTTTCACTTATATAATGCCCCCTGATCATGCATTTGTGTGCCTCCCATGAAGACATTGGGCCTGCTTCTCCAGGTCTTTATGAGGTCTACCAAACTCGTCAACATATTCTCATTGTTTCTCAAGTTTCAAGAGTGTTCCTTGGCTTTGTATAGTGGTAATCTTACACTTCCAGAGGTGGGGGAGTGGTCAGACCAGGTACTGCTCTGTATGTTACAGAAGATCAGTAGAGGTAAGTACTCTTGGGCTATAAATATATAGTCCAAACTACTATATTGTTTATGTACTACCGTGGAGTAGGAGAAATCTTTGTCTTCAGGGTGTGGCAACCTTCTGCAGTTGAGCAACAGTAGTGGTGCCTGGTAGTATCTCTTAAGAATCTCCAACATAGCAGTGTCTATATAAGTTCCCTAAAAGTCATTAATCGACCCCTACCCAAATTGGTGATAAATGGGTAACGTCTAATAGTATAAAAATGTAAGTATGAATGGAGCCAGATATACTTGTGTGGGTCAACTCCAAAACCCTCACAAGCCAATGAGCTTCAGTAGTGGTTGTGGGTATGAGCATTGACACAGGACAGGAGCAAGTCATGCGTCATCAATTGCCCCCTGTTAGTGCGGTAATCTCCAATCCATGCACTTCTAACAAACCAAGGCTACACCATTTCTAAGGCCCTCTTGCCCATTGAATGGGATCAGCTTTAGTCTGGTAGCTCACATATAAATAGGTATCAGTTTGAGAGATCCTAATTATAACATTGCAACAGGTAAAGGGAAAAATATTAAATAAAAAGGGAAGGGGATTACATCCATAATTACATGTGACAAAATTTGTATTATTCTGTTGGTTTTACTGATCACAGCTAAACACATCTAATTTCTGCTGTTCTCCAAGAGCTTGCAATCTAACTCAAGTTATAATTTCTGTTTGTACATAAATTATTTAGGAAATGCTACATTGAGATTGCAAACATTTGGGGACATTCCCTCCAAACTTTCCATAGAGACCAGGGCATGTGGGGAATGGCCTGCAGAGCTGACCTTCTAACACAAGTTAGTATTTATGGGATACAAATGGACTGTCTAATATAGACCGTCCCAGTAAATATCACAGTAGGAATCATATTACAGTAAAGTTGAGTTACTGTAGATTGCAAGCTGTTGGGGACAATCTCTGCATGCCCTGGTGAGCATATAGATGTATCAAGAACAGTGTTTCACTGGCACCAGGTAAAGTAACGTATCTTACAGTTTCTCTGTTTTTATTCAGGGTCAGGGACTGTCAGGTGGCAATACGATGACACAGTGTAGTGGTAGCAACTAAACAAATTCAATTGGAAAGTGGCTGCAATTCACATAACATATATGGGTGCTATCTTAAAAAGGCATCCCTTAATGCTAAACATATTACTATATACAAAAAGATGCACACCTTGGTTAATAACTCAAATCTCTTTATTATACAAAGTAAATAAAAAAAAATAAAAAAAAATATATAAACACTGTTACAAGACTATAACAACCAGTGACAGAGGCTATAAAATATGCTTTAAATCAAACAGGCATAAAAGCTCACTTGCATATCACCTCAAAGAGCTGAACACGTGTACAAAACAAAACAAAACACCAACGTTTCGGCACAGCTACTAGTGCCTTTCTCAAGGGATCACCACATTTTCCCATGTTCCATTGGTGTTTTAAATAGCCCTCCTTACAACTGATGGCCATCAGAATGATTACCAAACGAGGCTGAGCATGACATCAATATGCTCAGCATTGCTTGGTTAACATCCCACAAAATACATTTACAAAATGTTTACAATAAAACAATAATAGTTGGCAATATGTGACATTAAAAATAAATGTAATAAATTCCCTACGTAAGATCCTCTACTCGTGCGTGAGCACATATAGTTAATAGAACCAAGCACCATTTCAATTAAGGGAATGCCCTAAAGTGACGAAATGCAAGCAAACTCCTGTAGTCATAAATCAGTCCAATGGTTCGGCTAAACCCGTAGAGTGAAGTGCCTGCGCCCGTACATAGCAGCTACTACCATCCAGTTCGTGAAATATCAAAACAAATCTAGTAATATCCACAAAATTATTGTTAATACGCGAACACAATGCGTGTGTGTGTGTGTGTGTGTGTGTGTGTGTGTATATATATATATATATACACACACACACATACATACACACACACACACACTTGAACGTGCTTATTACACGAAGTGCATACTGTTCGTAAAAATAATACTGATAGATATACAGTTTGGTGTAAACAGTCATACTAATGCGTGTAGAGTAAGGAACCAACTCATCCAGCAGCGCAATAATAGCATCCAGCAAAATGGTTCAAATTAACAAACACATTCATACAATATATAAACATAGGACATATCCTATACAAGAGATAGAATGTATCCCAAAAAAGATGTTACCTATGTAGGTAACTCTCATACAATAACCGGCCAGGATCTAAAATACTATAACGGGGCAGTGTAAAAAACCCCACACACAAACACACAGCTACCCAAACTATATAAAAAGGAAATAAACATCTATACATAAACCACCACTAAAAAAAGAAAAACCACCACTGCTGGAGTCTGTGGTCAAAGCCGGATACTGCCCGGCAGTACTTGCTTTCCATACTGCAGTAGTGCTGGTTTTCCCCAAGGCTAGGAAGCCATCCCACCACTGCCACCAATGTAACGGAGCTCCCTGTACCCCGACTGGGTACCTCCGTTAAGGACCGCTTCCTAGCTGGAACAGGGGACAAACCACAGCACTTCTGCCCACAGTTGCCATGGCTTGACCGGGGCCCTGGAACCGCTCCTTCCTGGAGCCGAATGGAGAATTAGCACAAGAAGGACTTCCCCGTGGAATCCCCTGCAAGCTGGAACAGCAGACACAGGAGTAAATCTTCTTTCCCTCCAATAACAGGACGACACACAGTTTTGGAGTGTAAGCTGGAATAGCAGTTTAATGGAGGCACACTGCCTTTTATGTAAGTTTCCCAACAAGGTTGACGCCCAGGTGGACCTTGTTGGGCACAGGACACAAAGTATACAAGCCAATCAAAACAATATATCAATAAACGACACTCCCACATACCGTAAACAATCCCTCCCCTCTGCCTGTGATACAATTAAGGTAGATAATGCAATAACTTAATTATCCCCAGACCGAATAACACACATTATTACAAAGTGCCAAAAGTACCCCAAAATGCAACATATCCCCATAAAAGTCATCCCCTGATAGCCCTGACCTGGGTGAACAACATATCCAAAAATCACCCAGATCAGAGGTTCAGAAATTCCATGGAAGTCCTTTATTTGACCGACAGCAAGCATGGCCCCATGCCCAAAACAGTTCCAGAGAATCAGGGCTTGTGGTCGGTCTAGTTCGGTAGTTTGAAAACGAATAAACTACCGAACAGAGTCAAGAGTCTTACCCTGGAGCTTGTTCCCTTCATCCAGACGAATGATCCCACCGAACAGTTCTCTTCTAACTGGTATAAAACCAAAACGCAGGCAATGATGGAAGTCCAGAGGTGTTCAGGAGTTTCTGTAGCCGATTTTATTACCAGGAGATTTATGCCCAAACACCGCTGCCTGCGTTCATGCGAACAAGATGGCCGCCACCTCCTGGTTGCTTATAGGAAGTGCGGCCACCCAGACAAACAATTAGAACACTGCGCTGAGAAATGTTCCAAGTTGTTAATAGGTGTTAAAAAGCTCTTTTTACATTATTTTTCACAGGGTCCATAGTCTGTGGGTAGGAGGCTGGCAAGCAGTCTCCTCCAGGAGCTTGTGGCAAACTTAGGTAAAAGGGGAGTTTGCCACAACCACTATAAATTAAAAACACTGTAAAGGCCCGCTTCACATGAAACACACAAATTTGATTCTATACTATTAACCAATTAAATCTATGTAAATGATCATTTACATTACATGTATATACCATAGCAAATACTATTGCCTTCAAACAATTTAAGTATTTCATATAATCACTAGGGACCATCTACTACAGGGTCCACGGGTACAGGATAGATTAAGCATAATACTAACATCATAAATGCTCCTAACACAAAAACATAAGAAACCAATGCTTAGAGCATTTTTTTAATTCCCACTTAAACAGATTTCATGTAGCAAAATCCAGCCCATAATGATCATAGACCGACAAGTTCTCCACAGGGCTGGTCATCCATCCTCAAGCTCCACAGTCCAATCCTGGATCCACAATGAAGGGGTAGTGGCACACATGTAGTAATTGCTGATCTTGTGAGACAGCCAGAAGCAGAAGTGACACCGACGCTCACTTCAGCTTCTGATTCTCTCACACAGAGAGGAAGAATCATAGATTTGCTGCGCAGCCTGAGTTCACCTCATGCAAAATGGCAGAGGTCATCAAACTCCAATCGGAAGCCAAGGTGAGAGACAAGTTACAGCCAGAGGTAGAACTTTAGTGCACACTTGCTTGATGTTGGAAGTTCCATGGCTGAAGCAACTAAATAGTTCCCTCGGCTTCCCCTTTGAGAGTGAGTGGTCGGCAGCCTCACGTGCCATGAGTTGCCAACCCCTGCACTAGAGACATTTAAAATCTGTAATGTAAACATTGCCATTGAGATTAAGTGGCCTCGGTGCCTATGGTGTCCTTTTAATGCAAAATCAACATCAATTTACGGCTTGGATAAGAACAAAAATAATAGTGCAATATCTTATGTTCAGCACAAGCCTTTAATACATCTAGGTTCTTACCATAAATAAATATATACAAGGTAGCATACTGAGTCACCAGTCCTTGAATTTCCCAGAGTGCCAGTCCTTGAAGACCTCCACAAACAGGGCCAGCGCTTCCATTAGGCCACCTAGGCGGTTCCCTGAGGGCGTCTCTGGTAAACCTGCAGCTATAATTGTGTCTGGATCTGTCCGGGCGACTGGACGGTTCAGGCAGACCCAGTAATGCATAGAATATTTTAGGATAGCAGCCAGGCAACAGCGGCGCTGCCATTAGTCACATAGTGCTGCACTACCTTCTGACCACCGGCGCTTGGCTCCACTTGATCCCATTGCTCGAGGGTGCAGCGTCTGTGCACTCCTGAGTGTATCTGTCCCAGGAGGCCCTTCACCGGGTACGTGTTTTACTTGCACAACAGGAAGTGGGGTTGATACAGGGAATAACAGGATGCCAGGCAGCAAACTGATATATTAGAGTGTGTGTTTCAGAGAATGTGTCTATCTGCATGGGTCTCTGTGTGTGTGTTTCAGTCTGCATGGGTCTGTGGGGCAAGCTGCATGGGTCTCTGCGTGTGTGTGTGTGTGTGTGTTTGTTATGCTACTTGGTTTATTTGGGTTGGAACTCAACTGCAGCTTGTAGAACTCCCTAATTCCAATAGTAATGAAACGGAGAATCTCTAAAGTATCGATACTGTAGCTTTAAGAAAAGAGGATTGCTGGCAACTTGAGATTCAAACGAAGTTTTAATGATTGTTCAACTTAAATGAATTGCATTTAGGCAATAATCCAATAAGAAGAAGTTCAGCTTCAAATAATACAAAGTTCATTAATAAGTATTTCTTCAGAGAAGCATTAAGTAAGATTCTTTAAGTTCATGAGAACAATCTTCAATAGAAACATTAAGTAGTGAGAGTATTTGCAAAGCAAGAACAGTTCATAGTTAATAAGCATGATGGGAGTTGTCCTCCATATAATTAGTAACTTGAAGCAGAGAAGAATTGAGCAAGCAGGAATTAGTTCATTCATTAGAGAGATTGCAGATAATAGTTGAAAGCTATACTTAAGGTTAATGTGAGTTGTCCTCGAAGAGTTCAGAGATATAGTCCACTTGTAAAGTAGAAGGTTATCCGTTCTCCAGTAATCTTCTATGGCATTAAGCATATTCCTTCCCTTTAGCTCAGAAGGCTAGGACGGCTTATCAGAGCTTGTGGAGCCGGAGCTGACGTGCATATCCCGGAAGTAGGTCCCAGTATCACCAAGCGCTTTCTCCCTGGCGCAGTCTCTCTAAATACTGTCAGAGCCGTGTCAGAGGGGGTGGGGCCAGCTCCGCATAGCAGAGCGCCGAACCCGGAAGAGATACCGCATGACAGTGTGTCTGCATGGATCAGTGTGGGTTTTCAGAACAGATGGGTCAGTGTGCGTCCATTTGCATGAGTCAGTGCACGTGTGTCATTCTGCATGGGTCAGTGTGTGTATGTATGTCCATCTGCACGGATCAGTGTGTGTAAGTCAGTCTGCTTGGGTTAGTCAGTCTACACTAGTCAGTGCATTTGTGTGTGCATGGGTCACGGATTATGAGTTTGTGGACCATTGAATGTATGGTGTGTATATATGTGTGTCAGTGATTGCATTTATGCACAAAGGCCAGTTTTAATTTAAAAAATAAAAATAAAAAAAAATAATAATAATTCAATACTTTTTAAGGAACACTATAGTGTTGGAAATATAAACCTGTACTCTGAATACTGTGGTGATTCTATTAGTAAACATAGATTCTAGTCCCCACCACCATAAAAAGGGTTTAAAAAAAACAAAAAAAAAATTAAATTAAAAAAGGTTGGCTTTATTTATTTTTCAAGCACCAAGACTTCCTTTGCACTGCTTGCCTCCCAATGGGAAACGCTGGTTCAAACCAATGTTCCTCATAAAGGAGCATTGGACACCTGATACGCATTTGTGGCAACGGCTATGCACATCCAATGCGTCCCATACTTAAACATTGCATTGCAGTGAAGGTGCCTCTATTTAACCCTTTAAGGTAAACATTGCAGTTTCTGCAAAACATTCCAACCTACAGTACCACTACACCAAGAATACTTTGAGATGAAGTGGACTGGATGACTCTACTGGCACTTTAAATTGTTGGAGCGTATTATATGTAGGGTATATCAAAGTCCAGGACACATACAGCTCAGTTTTTCTGATTTATTTTGTGCAAAATATACAGGTGCATCAAAATAAAATAAACAAAACAAAACTCCTTGCTCTTGTTTGAGCACTTGCTAAACACAGTAATCCCTAACTGGAATTGGGTGGCTTTCCAACTTACCAATTTACAATAGCAAACTATAACTGCAAAACACACCATTCCTCTGGCTCTTTCTCCCTCACTCTGCAGCAGGCTGATCCCTTCTTTTAAAAGCCTGCCTGCTAATTGACCAGCTACAGGTGAGTATCAGTTAGTTTGTATCTCT